GAAAGTGTGGGATAGAGGAGTGGATGGCAAGGTGGGCTGAGAAATCCAGTTGGAGGCAGGTCACTAGTGGTGTTCCCCAGGGCTCGGTGCTGGGGCCAGTCCTCTTTAATATCTTTATCAATGATCTGGATGAGGGCATCGAATGCACCCTCAGTAAGTTCGCAGATGACACCAAGTTAGGTGCGTGTGTCGGTCTGCTCGAGGGTAGGAAGGCTCTGCAGGAGGATCTGGATATGCTGGACCTATGGGCTGAGGACAACTGTATGAAGTTCAACAAGGCCAAGTGCTGGGTCCTGCACCTGGGGCGCAATAACCCCAGGCAGAGCTACAGGCTGGGAGAGGAGTGGTTAGAAAGCTGCCTGGCGGAGAAGGACCTGGGAGTGATGGTTGCTAGTCGGCTGAATATGAGCCAGCAGTGTGCTCAGGTGGCCAAGAAGGCCAACAGCATCCTGGTTTGTATAAGAAGCAGTGTGGCCAGCAGGTCTAGGGAAGTGATTGTCCCCCTGTACTTGGCTCTGGTGAGGCCGCACCTCAAGTACTGTGTTCAGTTTTGGGCCCCTCGCTACAGGAAGGACATGGAGGTGCTTGAGCGAGTCCAGAGAAGGGTGACAAACCTGGTGATGGGTCTGGAGAACAAGTCCTACGAGGAGCGGCTGAGGGAGCTGGGCTTGTTCAGCCTGGAGAAAAGGAGGCTCAGGGGCGACCTTTCTGCTCTCTATAGGTACTTTAAAGAAGGCTGTAGCGAGGTGGGGGTTGGTCTATTCTCCCACATGCCTGGTGACAGGATGAGGGGGAATGGGCTAAAGTTGCACCAGGGGAGGTTAGGTTGGATATTAGGAAGATCTTCTTTACCGAAATGGTTGTTAGGCATTGGAATGGGCTGCTCAGGGAAGTGGTTGAGTCACCATCCCTGGAAGTCTTTAAAAGACATTTAGATGTAGACCTTAGCGATATGGTTTAGTGGAGGACTTGTTAGTGTTAGGTTAGAGGTTGGACTCGATGTTCTTGATGTCTCTTCCAACCCAGACAATTCTGTGATTCTGTGATTCTGTGAGAACTGGCTGACTGGCCGAGCTCAGAGGGTGGTGATCGGTGGAGCAGAGTCTGGCTGGAGGCCTGTGACTAGCGGTGTTCCCCAGGGGTCCGTGTTGGGTCCGGTCTTGTTCAACATCTTCATCAATGACCTTGATGAGGGAATAGTGTCTGCCCTCAGCAAGTATGTCAATGACACAAAGCTGGAAGGAGTGGCTGACACACCAGAAGGCTGTGCTGCCATTCAGCGAGACCTGTACCGGCTGGAGAGATGGGCAGGAAGAAACCCAATGAGATTTAATAAGAACAAATGTAGAGTCCTGCACCTGGGAAGGAACAACTGTATGTATCAGTACAGGCTGGGGGACGACCTGCTGGAGAGGAGCTCTGAGGAGAAGGACCTGGGGGTCCTGGTGGATGACAGGTTGACCATGAGCCAGCAGTGTGCCCTGGTGGCTAAGAGGGCTAATGGGATCCTGGCGTGCATTAAAAGGAGTGTGGCCAGCAGGTCAAGGGAGGTGATCCTCCCCCTCTACTCTGCCCTTGTCAGGCCTCACCTGGAGTGCTGTGTCCAGTTCTTGGCTCCCCGGTACAAGAAAGACAGGGATCTCCTGGAAAGAGTCCAGTGGAAGGCCACAAAGATGATACAGGGCCTGGAGCATCTTCCTTATGAAGAAAGGCTGAGAGACCTGGGTCTGTTCAGCCTGGAGAAAAGAAGACTGAGAGGGGACCTCCTCAGGGTATATAAATATCTGAGGGGTGGGGGACAGAAGGATGTAGCCAACCTCTTCTCAGTGGTTTATGGGGATAGGACAAGGGGCAATGGCTGCAAGTTAGAGCACAGGAAGTTCCACACTGACATGCGAAAGAACTTCTTCACGGTGAGGGTGACAGAGTACTGGAACAGACTGCCCAGGGAGGTTGTGGAGTCTCCTTTTCTGGAGATATTCAAGGCCTGTCTGGACGCCTACCTGGGCAACCTGCTCTAGGGAACCTGCTTTGGCAGGGGGGTTGGACCCAATGATCTTTCGAGGTCCCTTCCAACCCCTACAGTTCTGTGATTCTGTGATTCTGTGATATGTTTATTATTTGATAAGACAATAGTTAAGATGTACATAGTTAAGATAGCTAAATTTAACTACTCAATAGAAACTGATCATACATATGCTAGAGTTGCCTTGTAAGACCAGGAGCCAGCTAGATTATGACAATTTACAGAATGGTTTGGGGAGTCTCATATGAACCATTACAAGAACCCTTGCAACTGAGACTCCTGTCACTATCCAGGCAGAAACTGGACATCCTATTTGAGAGATTCCCTGAATTAGCATTACCCTATGCAGAAGATGGCAATAAATCAATTTGTTTAAGTAACACAGTGTGAATATGCAACAGCATCCAGTGACTGTACAACTGAATCCTGACCACACAATCTTCAACTCTTTTATCTCTTTTAACTCTTTTCTCTCCCACATTTCCACAATCTGTTCCACACTTCTAAAGTATCACCTAGAAATGACTTTCAACCCTGTTGAGTGTCCAAGAAGGACAGAAAAGGCTGCCTATCGTCCATTACAGAAGGCAAAGGTATAACATATCTAAGTTTCCTTGAAAATGGATCCAACACCACAGAAAAAGAAAACAATTTAAAGAAATTAGGCTATTTTTGCCTCCTTGTTCAGTTAGAAAGAAGCTTTTCAGACCTTGGAAACACCATAAGGGAAAGTAACTGTCTTTACCACAGTGTATGAGTGCTGGGGCCCAGAGAGCACCAACAGACTCTGCAACCTCTTTCCTGCTCCCCATCAAAGATCTGGCTGCCTGCTCAAGGCCAGCTCTGATAAAGCACAGTTGTATAACCTGGGATCAGACTGCTAAGAAAGAGCTGGGAAAAGCTTTGGTGCAGGGGCTATCCCTTTCACTCAGGAGGTGCATTTAAGTTGGACCTTGGACCTTGTCCTTACCTGAGCTACACTGTAGGTATATTATGTATGTTTGTACCTGGCCGTGTACCTTTTTGATCCTGTCCTTGCCTCGCTGACTTGATTTCCTAGCTTGACCTTAGACCTGCCTCATCACTATGGGCTTGCCTATCATTGGATTGTAGCTGTCCCTGGTCACCGTCACTAGACCTGCTCTGCTCTCCTTGTTCAGATGCTGTGAGACTGCACCCTTTTTGATGAATCCACTGCCATATCTGCCTTGCTGTTACTCTCAGCACCCTGTTCGCATGCTCTTATTGAACAGTCATTCCTTTAATTCAATGGGAAGCTTTACATATTTTTTACCAAGTTAAAGCTAGCATATTTGTTCAATATTTTATTTGTGAGATGACTTGTAAGACCTTAAACCTGGGACATACTCCCAAATTATGGAAAAAGTCATTCTGAAAAGGAACTTGGCTTTAGAATGAGATGAAAATGCTACAAACAAACTGATTCTTAAGTTACCCCACCAATTCAAAATACAAGTATTTTTGTGGTTATCAGAGCCCTGATAGGCAGCTGACTTCTAAGAAAGATTAATTAAATTTGACTAATACATGCCGACGTGGTTTAACCCGGCCGGCAGCTAAACACCACACAGCTGTTCGCTCACCCTCCCCCCTCCCTCTCTGGGATGGAGGAGAGAAGTGGGAAAGTGAAGCCCGTGAGTTGAGATAAAGACAGTTTATTAAGACAGGAAAATAATAATAACAATAATAATAATAACAATAATAATAATAACAACAATGATGATAATAGTACTACTACTAATAATGTGTACAAACAAGTGATGCACAATGCAATTGCTCACCACCCGCTGACCGATGCCCAGCCTAACCCTGAGCAGTCCGGCCCCCCTCCCCGGGCTAGCCACCCCTATATATTGTTCAGCATGACGTCAGATGGTATGGAATACCCCTTTGGCTAGTTTGGGTCACCTGTCCTGGGTCTGTCCCCTCCCAGCTCTTGCTGCACCGCAATCCTGCCCATTGGCAGGACAGAGCAAGAAGCTGAGATGTCCTTGGCTTGATATAAGCACTGCTCTGCAACAATTAAAACATCGGAGTGTTATCAGCACTCTTCTCATCCTAAGCCAAAACAGAGCATTCTACCAGCTACTAGGAAGAAAATTATCTCTGTCCTAACTGAAACCAGGATACATGCCCTTTCCCAGGGTCAAGGCAACAAGAAAGCTTATTATACAGCATCAAACTTGAAAATAATGTAATGTATGTTACATATTGGACGAATGTTAAGCAATTTGCATTATTAATGAGAGGTACTTTTACAGAAAAAAAAAGAACAGAAACATGAAAGTAAGTCCTGACAATAATTCAACCTGAAAACTTTTCCCTTCTGTATTCCATACATATATTGTTGATTCAAGCCTCACCAAACACTTAACAACAATTCCAATGCATATCTCCAGAGACTGAAAGCAAACCAGTGTTTGAGCATGATCCCTTGCTAAAAGGTTAGGGAAAAAACTTGCATGGTGCTAGAAAGTATAATATTTTAAAGGTACAGTAATGAACAATAGGTTCCTGTCTGTAAAACCTGGAGTTCCCGTCTCCAAATATAGAAAGAAAAGCCATTGCAAAAAAACTCTCTGCATTGTTAACTATCTCAAACCCCAGAAGTCACAAATTATGGTAGTAAAACATGTTACTGTGTCTAACGTATTAACAATGACATTACTACTCTTTGTAACCTGTGAGAGTCAGTATGGTAAGCCACAAATATTTAGAATATCAAGGGAATACAAACAAGAAGAAAAATATGCTACAAGACAAAGGTCTCTTTAATCAGCTAAAATATTGTCTTGACTACAGTACATATACTTCTTAAAAGACCAGTGAGATTTCAAAGTGTGACACAAAGTTAGCTACTGGGCCTGGAAAACAAACATTATTAGTCGAATTAAAAAAAAATGTGATTCATTAAAAGATGCACCTTTAAATGGAACATATATGCAAACCTCACCTTGTCACTGTCATTGCTGCAAATGTAATCTTGATGGATTGACTGGCACTGAAAGGAAGGGCCAATGCTACCTACAAGAGAAGCAGGGGGAGAAGGAATAAAATGGCATTAAAATAAAAAATAAAAAATAAAAAAAACAATTCCTATGAACTCTAAAAATAAATATAGAAAACTGTTGCAGACAGGAACAATTTTTACACACCAAACGTCAGACAGCTCGTATTTAATCCTGACAATAAACATCAGAGAGACATTTTTCAATGTGCCAGCAATAACTTCACCCAGATTTTTTTAGATGTTTTAAGAGAACAAAATTAGCACGGGTTCATCAAGCCAAAATGAAAATATTTAGTAAGATAAATATCACAGAATCACAGAATTTCTAGGATGGAAGAGACCTCAAGATCATCGAGTCTAACCTCTGACCTAACACTAACAAGTCCTCCACTAATCCATATCACTAAGCTCTACATCTAAATAATACTCCCAGGTCCTTCTCCGCCAGGCAGCTTTCTAACCACTCCTCTCCCAGCCTGTAGCTCTGCCTGGGGTTATTGCGCCCCAGATGCAGGACCCGGCACTTGGCCTTGTTGAACTTCATACAGTTGTCCTCAGCCCATAGGTCCAGCATATCCAGATCCTCCTGCAGAGCCTTCCTACCCTCGAGCAGACCGACACACGCACCTAACTTGGTGTCATCTGCGAACTTACTGAGGGTGCATTCGATGCCCTCATCCAGATCATTGATAAAGATATTAAAGAGGACCGGCCCCAGCACCGAGCCCTGGGGAACACCACTAGTGACCTGCCTCCAACTGGATTTGACTCCATTCACCATGACTCTTTGGGCCTGGCTATCCAGCTAGTTTCTAACCCAACGAAGAGTACGCCAGTCCAAGCCATGAGCAGCCAGTTTCTTGAGGAGAATGCTGTGGGAAACGGTGTCAGAAGCCTTGCTGAAGTCAAGGTAGACCACATCCACAGCCTTTCCCTCATCCACCAAGCGCATCACTTTGTCATAGAAGGAGATCAGGTTCGTCAAGCAGGACCTGCCTTTCCTAAAGCCATGCTGACTGGGCCTGATTGCCTGGTTGCCCTGCAAGTGTCGCGTGATGACTCTCAAGATGATCTGCTCCATGAGCTTCCCTGGCACTGAGGTCAAACTGACAGGCCTATAGTTCCTATGCTAGGGCCGCATGATGAAATGTGACCTTCTGTCTTACAAACCCTTGTATAACCACAAGTCCAAGAGAAACAGAGTGGTTAGTGTATATAGTTCTTGTATCTTGCAAAAGAATGGTCTAGCAGTTCGTGTCAATAGAGGGTTTGAAGGGTAAACCTTGCGACTTGGGTCTGGGAGATAAGAGAACAGGGGGGAGTTTTCTGAGATAATTGCTGACTATTGCACGAGACACAAATTTCTGACATCCGGCCCAGAGACTTCTAAATAAGGAGAGGGGGGAAGCTGAAGAATGACCGAAGGACAAAGCCTGGGAGGAAGACTACGAGCCTTCAGTATGAGCAGAGAGACCACCGGAGACTGATACGCATGCGTCCGTGGGAAGGTTCGGATCCCGGGAAACTAATTCTAATAACCCTGACTTTTCCAAAAGTGGTGATGAATATATATTAGCCTAGGAGCATAAAAACCAGCCGCCTGATGTAACTTGTGTGCATCTTGGTGGAGTGGAGACTCCCGGCGCACCCAGTGCTGTTTGCTTGCTTCTATTCATTTAATAAATTGTAAACTTTAATTGAAATCCTATTTGGGACTCAGTCATTTATTACAACTGGGGGCTCATATGGGATGGCTTTGGTTTCTGAATTCTGATTTGATCTAGGAGAGGCGCCCCACCATTTGGTGGCTCCTATTCGAGTCGGGTCGGGACTAACTCCATCTTGAACCTGAATAAAGGCAAGCAAACATCTTATTTTTTTTTATGAGCTCCCTTGACGGCTTCAGCACTATATTTTGCCCGTAATTCTGCGCGCGAAGATACGAACGAAGACGACGGAGTCGTAAGTATTTAAGGCGTATACCGTTCATTTGGGTGGTGTTGCAGGAAGAACAGCTGAAAACATGACAGACACTAGTATGGTCAGATCATGCTCCCTCTTTATTACCCGAATAGCCTGAATTTAAAGCAAACTTAACAGGGGCGGATAGTGTCTCACACAAGATTATTGGTCAAAAGCACTCAGACAAACAACTACAAGAAAACAACCCCACCTGCAAGAAAACAACACCCTTGTGATTAGCAGTCTGTCCTGGTTTCAGTTAGAACAGAGTTTATTTTATTCCTAGTAGTTGGTAGAATGCTATGTTTTGGCTTAGGATGAGAAGAGTGCTGATAACACCCCGATGTTTTAATTGCTGCAGAGTGTCGTGATTCCGCTCGAGTGGGCAGCCGAGCTCCACCACAGCCGCTCTCTCACTCCCCTTCCTCAAAGAGGAATGGGGAGAAAATATGTGAAAAGGGCTCAAAGGATGAGATAAGGACAAGAAGATCACACAGTAATTATTGTAACGGGCAAAACAGACTCGGAATAGGGAGATAGTAAGATTTATTGCTTATTACTAACAAGCTAGAGAAGTGAGAAACAAAGGAAAGAAACCAAAACCACCTTCCCCCCCCATCCACCCTCTTCCACCTCCTCCCCCCGAGCGACGCAGGGGAACGTGCGAATGGGGGATATGGTCATTCTACAGCACTTCTCTGCCGCTCCTTCACAGTCACTCTCATCCCCTGTGCTGTGGGGTCCCACCCACGGGATGCAGTCCTTCATGAACTGATCCGGCGTGGGCTTCCCACAGGCAGCAGCTCTTCCAGAGCTGCTCCAGATATGGGTCCGTACCACGGGGTCCATCCCTCAGGAGGAAACTGCTCCAACCTGGGTCCTCCACGGGCAGCAGCTCCTGCCAGGTCACCTGCTCCTGCGTGGGCTAATCTCCACGTGCTACAGGTCCCTCCAGGAATCTGCTCCGGCAGGGGTCTTCCACAGGCGGCAGCCTCCGTCGATGCAGGGACACCTGCTCCATCGTGGTCGCCTCCACGGGCTGCAGCGTGGAACCCTGCTCCACCGTGGTACTCCATGGGCTGCAGGGGGACATCCTGCTTCACCATGGTCCTCACCATGGGCCGCAGGGGACTTCTGCTCTGGTGCCTGGAGCACTTCTCCCCTCCTTCTACACTGACCTTGGCGCCTGCAAGGCCGTTCCTCACTCCTCTCGCTCTCCCAGCTACTGTGTGGCGCAGCGTTTTTTTCCCTGTCTTAAATATGTTCTCAGAGAGGCACAAAACAACATCACTTATTGGCTCAGCTCTGGAAAACAGTGGGGCACTTCCCAAACATGGGGCAGCTTCTAGATCCTTCTCACAGAAACCACCCCTATGGCCCCCTGCTACCAAAACCTTCCCACGTAAACCCACTACACAGAGCAGTGCTTATACTAAGCCAAGGACGTCTCAGCTTCTTGCTGTGTCCTGCCAATGGGCAGCATTGCGGTGCAGCAAGAGCTGGGAGGGGACAGACCCAGGACAGGTGACCCAAACTAGCCAAAGGGGTATTCCATACCATCTGACATCATGCTGAACAATATATAGGGGTGGCTAGCACGGAGAGGGGGGCCGGACTGCTCGGGGTTAGGCTGGGCATCGGTCAGCGGGTGGTGAGCAATTGCATTGTGCATCACTTGTTTGTACACATTATTAGTAGTGTTACTATTATCATCATTGAATTGTTATTGTTATTGTTATTGTTATTGTTATTGTTATTGTTATTGTTATTGTTATTGTTATTATTATTTTCCTGTCTTAATAAACTGTCTTTATCTCAACTCACAGGCTTCACTTTCCATTTCTCTCCCCCGTCCCAGAGAGGGAGGGGGGAGGGTGAGCGAACGGCTGCGTGGTGTTTAGCTGCCGGCCGGGTTAAACCATGACAGTCTTTTTGGCGCCCAACGTGGGGCCCGAAAGGTTGAGATATCGGCAGATCGGACCAGAGTGTGTTAAACTAAAATTGGTATAAGTATTGGACCTGCTTTATAGTCACTTGTCATAATGCTGATTGCTTTAATCTCAAGTCTGCTGTGCCTGTTTTCCAAATTGAGTATCATAGTACATTATTTTCCGTATTTGCTCTCTGTCATGTTGTTTATCCTGTCCAGGCCCTGGTTTAAGATCATTATGGTACTGTGTGTTGTAACAGTGGCTTATGAGACGATGAAATATCTGGTCATGACTCTAACTTGTTATTTGTACTCAGTAATATCGTCGACTCTATAGTTTGGAAACCGTATCTCGGAAACTATTAGCAATTATACCTGTTGCCTTTTTTCATCAGGGAGTCAATCTGTGGAGGGGAAAGGGGAAGATATTTTTTCTTACTCGATCACTCTCCCTTCCTCCTTCACCACCCTCTTATCCTCCGAGCTTGTTACAATAGCTCTCCAAGATATTGAATATCCTTGGGATACTCAGACCAGCATAGTCTTGTTGTTCTGCCTCCTGAATGCGCTTCAGGTACTGCTTAAAGTTAAACAACTACTTAGGAAGCTCATCCAGAGATCTGCCCGGAGGCAGTATAGTTGTGGGTGGCAGGGAGTATGGGTGGATATGGGCAGGCATCTAGAGCAGTGGGCACCCCCAGTGTTTTGGAAATTCACCCCTGAACAAATGCAAAATCCTCAAAAACTGGCAGAATGCTTGAAAAAAAGGTGTCATGATTCTGGCAGTTCCAAAGTAACAGAAATCATTGTAACGTGCTGGGGCCTGGCTCATGCCTATCGAGCTGCCATGGATACTGCTATCAACTTAGTGACAGACCCTGCGGCCACTCCAAGTCCTGTGACAGATCCAATGGCCACTGTGACCCCTACGGTGGACTCTGCAGCCGTTCCAGTTCCAGCTCCTGCAGCCGCTCCAGCTCCGGTTCCTGCAGCCACTCCAGCTCCAGTTCCTGCAGCCACTCCAGCTCCGGTTCCTGCAGCCACTCCAGCTCTGGCTCCTGCAGCCGCTCCAGTTCCAGCTCCTGCAGCCTCTACATCTCCGGTTCCTGCAGCTGCTCCAGC